ATAGCCAGAATTTCAACAACTAAGGGGTATTAATGTCATTTATATGGGTCACTTTTTATTTTAAATTACACACGTGAAATATAAATTATATGGATAAATGAAAAAATTCAGTATCACATAAGCATTTTTAATGAGTTGGCCTGATAAAGGGTAAATTGAGGAAATCTTTAAAAGACTAGAGGAATCTAAATATCAAATTGCATTGGAAGTGTGAAATCAATGGAAAATTCTCGATTCGTAGTGCTTATAGATACTGCATCAACGAAGCTATTGATACTTCTCACCTTAGGATTAGTGAGAGTTGGAATCTGTTGTGTAACATTAAAACTCCTCCCAGAGTTAAGAATTTTTTGTGGCGTTTGTGTAGAGTTTGCGTGCCTACTAGACAGAGACTTTTGTATAAAGGGATTAATTCTCCCTCTAACTGCGTTGGTTGTAGTAATAATGAGGAAAATACTTATCATCTATTTTCCAGTGTCTCAAAAGCATTGAGTGTTGGGAAAAATAGGTCTTTAATCAATGTTGCAGCAGTTTAGTAACAATGAGGGTTGTTTGCTTCTGTGATTTTTTTCCTTTTGCAGGTTTCAAATCATGACCATCAACTGATTTTCTTCGTAATTTTATGGAGCATTTGAAAAGAGAAAAATAATCATATTTGGAATTATGTAGAAGAACCTCAGGTTTAATCTGTCAATGAGTGTGATCGGTGGATCTGGAACTGACTGTTTAACGCTGGTTCGCGAAATGTCGCGGTAAGCAAGAGTCGCCACCGTCTTTTATTTTCTCCAAATGGAAAGGACAAAAGCACAGAAAAATTCCTTAAAGAGATTGCTCTCGGTTCGGGAGGTAGATTATAGAAAGGGAAGGTATTAGCACCCTTTCTATCCATGGTTATCCATGGGCTCTTAGATACTTGCTCATTTGTGTTTTCAAAATGGTTTGTTTGCTTTTCAACTGTGGGTTTTAAAAAATTTCTTTGAAAATTCCAGTTCGACTCTTGTATCAGTCCTCAAGAGTGTTTGAAAAGTTGCTTTCGAAAGCTTTTGAAAATGTGTTGATGTGAAAAGTATTTTGTTTTGTTTTGAAATTTAGAGCAAGTATCTAGAGTCGTCTACCTACCCTAAGGAATTCGTCTGTGTAAATGTCCTTTAAAGTAGTGCCATCCCACCATTGAGAGGTAGGTAGCACCACCGTTGGAGGTGTTCGGGTCAATTCGAAGGTTCGGGACATGGTGATCACCGGAGCAATGGGAAGACACCTTAGAAGCTACCCTCATGCCAGGTTCCCGGATCATGAGGACTTACTAAGACATCCTCTACTCGACGATCACCTTTCGATGCAAGGCAACAGTGAGGCGTACCCTAGGGGTGGTGTGTGATTTGTGTGTCAGATTCATTTATTTTTGTCTTGTCAGGTTATGGGTGATCTATGCGTTTGTTTTTATTTTTTTGTCATTCATTCTTGCATGCATTTATTTAACAGTTAAAAAGATGCGGAAATTAAAAGTTCCTAAACTATTAGGAAGGCGCGGGTCCACATCGCCAAAATTTAATCCAGGACCCGATTTGACAGAAAATAAAGAAATAAAGTAAAGTGCGAGAAATATAAATGTCCGAGTTTACAAGGCTTTGGGAGAATTACATTAATATTATAAGAAATAAAATAAAATGCGCGAATTGGAATTAAAATTGGAAGCGAGGGAGTTGGACCCTTTTTAATGAAATTAAATTAAATGATTAAACTAATGAAATTAAAGAGAAAAAAGAAATTATTATTTTTTTTTTGAGTTTTTGGTATTTATGTTTTTTTATGTATTTTTATGAGAAAGATTAAATGAAATTAAAATATTAACCCTAATTCTAATTTTTTTATTTATTAAGAAAAACATGTTAAAATTAAACCTAAGATTAATCTAATTGTTTACATGGTAATTTAATTACAAAAATAATATTTAATAATTAATTATTGTGAAAGAAAAGAAAAAAAGGATAAAAATTGATTAAAACCTAATTATACCAATTTTAAGTTTATTAAGAAAAATGTTTGAATTAAACCTAATTTTACAAAGCTAAAATTAATTAGTGATATTTATTTACAAAAAATAACATTAAATAAAAATACTTATTTTTTGTCTTTTTTCTGATTTTTATATTGTTTTATTTTTTTATGAAAATAAATTAAATTAAAGGAACTAATAAAAAAAGAAATAATTGAAACAAATAAAATAAAGAAAAGAAATACAATACCTTGGGGGTCTGTCCCCAATTGGAGGTGAATTGGGGTGGTTTGGCCATTTACTGGTGTCATGCATAAGTTGTTCTACTTTGGTCATTTGGCTTTTGGCTTTTGGCCATTTGTGTTTTGGCCTCAACGTTCCTTAATCTTCTCAGGATGTCTGTCTCGCCATGTATTGTTGTCATGCATAAGTTTTTCTACTTTGGCCATTTGGCTTTTGGCCTTTTGGCCATTTGGCTTTTGGCCTCAACGTTCCTTAATGAACCTGGGATCCTGTCTAAATCTGCAGTGTTGAATCTCACGAACACATTAAATAAAATAATAAAAATTCAAATAAAACCAACATATGAAGAAATTTAATGTTTAGGCACAATATGACATGTATGAATGATTATACCCTTTTGATCATGGAGATCAAATCAACCTTACCCTTACTGGAAAAGTAGTGACATGAATGCTTTTATGCCCTTTGGATCATGGAGATCAAGCCAGCCTTACCCTTACTGAAGAAGTAATAAGATGTTGGTTTGTAACTGTGATGGCTTGTTTGTAGTGAGAGAGGGATTTGTAATAAGGATTTCAAGGTTTTAGGGTTCTTGAAAGAATTTGATATTCTAACAGTGTTGTGGCAAGGTTTTTTCTCTCTTTTCCTCTTTTTCTCCTCCTCTTTTCTTTTTTCTCTTTGGTTTGTGTGAAAAGAAGGTGATTATATAATGGAAATTAGGGTAAAGCAAATGGGCTTTGAATGTGCAATTGGGCCTCCAATATTCATTTGAATTCGTCACTTTCCAGGCTAAATCGCAGGGACTTAAGTGCATTTTTTGAAGTTGAAATGTGAAAACAAAATGTAGCCGGCATCGAGAACTAACTCCTGTCCGAAAACCGACTCAATCGGATAAACGGTGAATTAGTTATGAATTTTTGAAGTTTCAGCTCAGACAAACTTATTTTGGGCTCCAGTGTCGACTCTGACACGTTCTTCAATAAAAAACTGGTATTGATCGGTGCATAATTTGGTCTCGACTTTTGAAGCAAAGTTGTAGATCTATGAGTCAGGGACATTGTGTAAAAATATGAGCCCAATCCGATAAAAATTGACCGAGTTATGAATTTTCGAAGTTTCGGCCCAGATGAAATAATATTCAGCATTCAGGATTTTCAGCGTGTTACGCATTCTGAGCAAAAAACGAAGGCCTTTTGAATACCGTTTGAACTCGATACCTCCTGTGAAAATGTAGCCAACTCAATTTGTGAAATTTTGGCGCCAGAACCAGTTCGATACGATGAAAATCGACCAAGTTATGATTTTTTGAACATGACGCAAATAAACTTCTGTCACAAATTTTCTGCACGAAAATACTTGATAAATCCACATTTTTGAAGACCTTATGATCGAAATTGGCTTTCAGCCGTGAGAGATGAAAACGTAGATAATGTCAAGACGGAATTTTAGCCACTGGAACGGGTTCAAAACGAGCCACGATCTTCAAGTTATGAATTTTTTAGCGCGTAAAAACTGCACTTTCAGCACACTTTTCCATCATATTTCTTCGAGAAAACTCACACATTCGGATACCTTCTTTAAAGAATTGACTCTTGAGCCGAACCTGAATTTGAGAATACGTTATCAGAGATATCTTGGCGAAAGAATACCTGAATATGACGCGCCAGGTTGGACTTGTGAATTTTTCTTGAAATGTTTTGAGAAATATGGGAGGGCAAATTTTGGGGTACAACAATGAGCATCTCAACTTTTGGTCGGATAGAGAGATGCTCAGCAGCATCGTCCCAACATTGAGATTATTAATCCTCCTTCAATTGTTACTAGGTGGTGTAAACCATCGACGGATCGTCTCAAGTGCAATATTGATGCTTCCTTTTCTCATAATAAGGTAGGCATCGGTGCCTGTATTAGAGATGACGCAGACCATTTTATTGCAGTCAGAATAAATTTGTTTTCACCTTGCACTGATGTTACTATTGGAGAAGCTCTAGGCCTTCTGACAGCTTTAAAGTGGGTAAATAATCTGGGTTACGATAATATGGATTTTGAATTAGATGTGAAGGGAATTGTGGATAATGTGAATTCTCGAAAGCCTAATGACTCGGATTTCGAAGCTATTATCGACGATTGTAATAGGCTAATGACTCTCTTTTTTAGAAACTCTCATGTTAAATTCGTCCGAAGATAAATCAATGAGATACTCATACTTTGATACGAGTGGTTCTATCTCTTGTTATCTCTTGTTAGTCTTCGTAATTTTATTAATATTCAAACATTATATTTAGAATATTATTATTAATGAAATGATTTAATCTTTTCCGTAAAAAAAAAAAATATTGTATTCCGTTTTATCAAATTCCATGATTCCAAAGATATGCTAAGTAGTGATCCAAACCCCCAGAAAGAACACCTCTAGTTCGAAGATGGAACGAGCAAAGGAAGAAGGGTTTGACTTTGGTGTTGTGTACTCATAGAATAGAATAGACTAGAATAAAACTTGAAGAGCACGAAACAAGAGATCAAATTCCTCACAACTTTAATCAGGTTAGTGTCTGGAAATGACTAGTATTTATCGAAGTAGGTAAGGTTTCAATTATGTGAGGGTTTGTTTGAGTATTATGCATCCCAACTAATTTTGATTTCTCGATTTATCTAATTTCATTCCCCCTAAATCATAATAATAATTTTAAGTGATTTATTTTTAAGCTCACAAATATCTGGTAACACTTGGGATTTATAGTTTTCTTAAACACCAGTTAGAATGAATCTTAATGATCTCAACAAGGTCTGGGAAGTTAAGTCTCTCAACAAAATTGGACAAGATGAAGCCACCAAGATTCTTCAAAAAGTTGCTAAGCAGGTTCAACCAATTATGCATAAAAGAAAATGGAAAGTTAAGCTTCTTTCTGAATTCTGGTACTTCCTTTCATTTCATGCTTTCTTGTTACATACACTTTTTCTTTCCACTTTTATCTTTCTAATATTTCAGTATACAGTCCCGCCGACCCATCCCTTTTAGGGATGAATATAGGGCCGGGTGCTGAAGTTAAGCTCAGATTACGAAGACCTAACCGCGACTGGGATTTCTTCCCGTATGAACAAGTTCTCGATACCATGTTACACGAGCTTTGTCATAACGAACATGGTCCTCACAATGCTCAATTTTATAACCTTTTGGATGAAATTAGAAAGGTAATGATCCTTTCCTCCCTGCCTACATATATTCTAATGATGTCCATTATACTATAGCCTGTGCTTTGCAATGATACGCATTCGTCCTGTGCAGGTGGGGTTTATAATTGAATTGAGATATGTAAATTTTACACAACAGCAAAACACTATTCTTAGGGTGATGCATGCATTACTTTACTTTTGCCTATATGGATTGAAAATTAGCTCATTTCTAGAGGGTGTAGCACGTATATACACAAGCAGCAAAAGAATTTGGATGAAAAAAATGGGGTCGGGGAGCATGTATGTTGTCACCTTGAGCCCCCCAAGGTTTTCAATCATCTTGAGATTGCATTCTAGTTATTCTAGAAGGTGTACTGATCTCCTTATTTATTTTGCCTAGTTTAAGACATTTCATTCACGTGTTGATAAAATTCAAAAGAAGACTAGCATCGTTAAACGTATACAGAATCTAAAGTAGAATCTTTACTCTCCCGTCACCGTCACATATGCTGTGTAATAATACTCTGTTAAATTAGAATCTTATTTGCAATGTCTTGCTATCTTTTCATATATGTGCACATTCTTGTTGGTATTGATCATAGATGATTGCATTTGGTCCTATTTGAATGCAGGAATGTGAAGAACTAATGGTCAAAGGATTTGATGTTCCCGGGAGACGTTTAGGTGGGTTCAGCCACCAACCACCTTTGTCGTCACTTCGCCAGACTGCATTGGCTGTGGCTGAAAGCCAAACACGCAGTGGAGTTTTGCTGCCTGCTGGACCTCAGCGTTTAGGTGGTGATAGCAATATTAAGTCTGCCCTGAGTCCAATACAAGCTGCTGCCATGGCTGCTGAAAGGAGACTGCATGATGACATGTGGTGTGGGTCAAAGTCTTCAGGGGGCGACACTTTCATTCAGGAGGGTAGAAGCTCTAGTGGGCCTTCTGAGAAATCTATTCAATCTGCAGTAGCCAAGGAAACAATTGGGGAAGCAAAATGGCAGTGCAATACATGCACTTTGTTAAACAAGGTACAAATTGTTTTATCTCTTTGCTTATAAAATTGATACAACAAAAACAACAATCATTTGCATCTCAACCTCTCTTAATCGTTTTTTCGATACTTTTCCTTAATCTTCCTTTACCTTTAGCTATAGGGCTATCCTTCATTAGTTTTATCCACCGATCAGTGCTTCCCAGACCACATTGCTATGTGTACCATGACAATTACGTTGACACAATCTACACCATCCATTCAATTTCAACTCAAATGAGATAGAAGAATAAAAAGGTCATTAGAATGTCACTTTATACCTTGACACTCATTGCATGGGCTGATCTGGGTAAACTTGCAAGCTCTATTGATAGATGTAGAATTGATAGAAGCTGTATTGTAGTTATCAAGACTATGTAAGCTTTTATCTTCCATTGGTAAAATACAGCTCATTCCCTATCACTTTCATTTAGAACAGTATTTGAATTTACATTGATCATTACCAACATAACATGTGCTGCACATGTAGTTTACAGATGTTTCCAAAAAACTGAACACGTCAGCTTTACTAGGTGGCATGGCATCACTTGATTAATCTTTTGCAGTAGTGGTTATAACATAAACTTTGTCACTTAAATGAGTAGTTGTACTTAGATAACTTTTATGTTGTATCTTAGTGACATCACTTAGTTTTTTCATGTTGTACTCAAGTCAAATGTGTGCACTTGTGGATTTTTTACCAACTGTAACAGAAGCAGCATGATTCTCCATATTTTTTACCGCAGTGTTGTTGAATGACATAATAAAAACAAGAAAACATACCAAGTGACACTTATCTATGAATACTTGAAAGTCGCCAAGGAGTTTTTCAGTTTTTACCCTCATCTCTTCCAAAACACATTATATCAAGTGATTTTTTTGGCTTGGTTATTTTGCTGTATTTGGACCTAAACGGATATCATGTACATTGAATATAACTGAGTGATGTTGCGTTCTCATGTTTATTGCAGCCATTGGTGTTGCTATGCGAAGCATGTGGAACAAAGAAGCAGAAAGATGTTAGAAAGTTGAAAGTTTGGTGTTGCAAATTTTGTACTCTAGAAAATAGTATTGAGCTTGATAGATGCTTAGCTTGTGGAGAATGGAGATATTCACATGGCCCGCCCGTCTCCACTAGTGGGCCATATGCTGGCACCTAATTGGAAGGAAGACAATCAATCCTCGTCTTTATAAATAGTACGGCAACATGTTTGTAAATCATTTTAGTAAAGAAATACTATGACATTGTATGTATTGTATCACGTAGTTGTGAGGAATTTGAAATCTAAGAAATAATTTACTCATGTTCATTTTGTTAGAAACTTTAAAGAGTAAAATTAGAAGGAACCATTAAATTAGGAGTAATTAGTTACTCTTATAATGGTTTATTATCATCTTTATAAAAGTTTAATAGGAAAAGAAATATTAAACTTGCATAGAAAGATAAAAAATATATGTAAAAAAGTTTTGTACTTTATTCAAAGCTCTGTTTTTTTTGTTTGGAATTGCTAATCTGTGGAAAAACACCCTATAAATCTGATGTGCGCGTTTTTGATTAAACAGCGTTTAGAGATGTATCTCTGTAAGTTAGACAAAGATGCATATCTGTAATTTTTTTGGCCTAGTTTTAAGGGATGATTTATGAAAGAATATGTTTGTGGTGCGTTCAGAGATATATCTCTGAAACTTGAGGTATTTGTAGGTTTTCACGAGGGTATAGAAATAATCCTTAGAATGCTTAAGCAATCAGTACCTTTTTTATATTCTCTCTAATTATTGAACCGTGTTTGAATCCAAAACCTTAGTTAGGTTAGTAGCGTGGAGGGGGTTTAGATGCTTTTTGGTGAAAAAATTGTAGTTAATTGATAAATTAATTAATAATGAATAAATTAATTGATTAAATTTATAATATTTGTTAAAAGTAATAATCGAATTAATTTATAAATATAAAATAAGAGACAAATATGCTAAACGATATTTTACTTCTTTTCAATTATTTATTTGAAAGAAAAATAATAATTTATAAATTATTTATATTACCTTATAAAATATTAATTATTAAAAAATATTTTTTAAATATATACATTTGTAAATTATATAAAACATAAATTATAAATAAATTAAGGAAACCTTTCCAAACATAATTGCATAAAATATCTATATCTAAATAAAATGGTCCTCTTGAGGGCAGTGCTATGTTTATAATCTGGAAGAAGCTGCAAAGGTTGCAACCTAGCATCAGAAATCTGAGTAAATCTTTCAAAGGGATAAAAATATCAGATTGACAGGGCAAGAGAAAATCTAGGGATAAAAATATCAGATTGACAGGGCAAGAGAAAATCTGAAGAACGTTTAATAAAATCTTTTGGTCGACAGAATTAATGGTCACCTAATTGAGAAGGTGAAGACCTGCATTGAGGAGGTAATCTTTTGGTCGACAGAATTAATGGTCACCTAATTGAGAAGGTGAAGACCTGCATTGAGGAGGTAATCTCTCTGAACAACATAGAAGAACAAATGCTGCTTCAAAAAGCTAAAGTTGATTGGCTTAGAATGGGAAATGGCAATAATGCCTTCTTCCATGCTACTCTTAAGGCAAAAACTAAACAAACTCAAATGCACTCTTTGGTGAGGGAAGATGGGACTATAACATTCACTCAGATTGATATTAAAGAATAGGTCTTCCAATTTTATGGTAATCTTGTTGGGTCTACATCTAACAACCTTAAAGGAATTGACTTGGAAGCTAAGAGAAGGGTCCTCAACTGAATATGGTTCAGGGGGGATTTCTAGTTAGCCCTATTAAAGATAAGGAAATATACAATAGCCTTAAGAGCATAAATGATATTACAGCCCCTAGTTGTGATGGCTATAGTGTCAAATTCTATAAGTCTACATGGGATATCATAAAACAAGACGTGAAGAATGTTGTTAAAGATTTTTTTGACAAAGGGGAAATTCGCAAAACTGTCAACTGTACTATTGTGAATCTTATTCTCAAGTCACCTGATGCCTCAAGGGTAAAAGACTATAAGCCTATATCATGCTGTACAATCATCTACAAAATTATTTCGAAGATAATTGTAAACAGGACGGGGAAAGTGATATTGGAAGTAGTGAACAAGAGCCAAAATGCTTTCATACCAAGAATCCTTATGCAGGACCACATATTGCTTGATTATGAGCTGATTAAGATGTGTAATAAAAAGAGTGGTTCTCCTAAGTGCATGGTTCAAATGGACCTGTAAAAAGCATATGACTCAGTAGAATGGAGAGCTGTTGAGATAATTCTTCATGAGATGAATTTTCCATAAGAATTCATAAGGTGGATTATGATGACCATCGAGACAATTTTCTATAGATATAACATCAATGTTGAACACACAAACATCCTGGTGGCTAAGAGAGGGCTCAGGCAAGGAGACCATCTCTCCCCTATGATCTTTGTACTTGTCATGGATTACCTCCACAGGGTGCTTCAAAAACTTAGGGATAACCCTAATTTCAACTTCCACTCTAAATGCGAAAAATTGGGCATCATCAACCTTAGTTTTGCAGATGATATGATTTCTGTCAGGCTCTTTATGCAAGCTTTCAAAAGCTTTGTTGATTTTATAACTTTCCAATAAGGAAGCCTTCCCTTTTGGTATTTAGGCATTCCTTTATATAACAAAAAACTCTGATTTTAGTGGAAAAATCATCTCTAGGATAAGGCATTGAAGCAACAGAATCCTAAGCATGGCAGGTAGAATGCAACTTGTAAAGAGTGTTTTATTCTCTATTACCAACTTCTGGATGCAAAGCACCTCCCCTAAGAAGGTAATTAAGGATGTTGAAGCAACTTGTAGATCTTTCTTATGGTAGAGAAAAGGTCATCCGTAAATCTCCAGTTGCTCGGGGGAAGACATGTACTCCTAAGAATAAGGGTGGCCTAAATATTATAACTTTAGATACACGGGGGACTATTAGTACCCTAAAAATGCTTTGGAACCTGGGCAGAAAATCAGACATCCTTTAGATTAAGTGGATACACAACTACTAAAAATGCTTTGGAACCTGGGCAGAAAATCAGACATCCTTTAGATTAAGTGGATACACAACTACTATGTGAAGAATGAGGATATCATGAATATGCCTATCAAAAGTAATTGTTTCTGGATTCTTAAGGCTATTTTGAAAAAGATAAGTATCCTTCAACAACCTCATGTTCCTTGGAAGAAGATGTTCTTCAATAACATAACATGACCTAGAGCCAAGTTTAGCTTATGGATGACTTGCCACAATAAACTTGGCACTAAGGAAACACTCCATTGATTATCTCTTATAGACAATGATCGAAAAACGTGTGATGATGAGCTTATTTGGATATTGAAGAATAGAAAAGGTAAAGGAAGCAGAGCTGAAATTCTTAAATGTGCTTTTACGGAGACAATGTATGAAGTGTGGTTGTATAGAAATATCCATTGCTTTGGTAAAGACATTGACAACTCCATAATATGTCTCAAAATTATAGATATTGTGATATATAGGTGTTGGGTCAAACATAGATTGAGACAATTTATAGTTAGACACATGATTCCGTACTTTTCTTCTTGTTGTTTTAGAGTCGTTGGATCATTTGATCGTCTTTATTGTAATGTTTTTTAATTTTTAAATAAAGGCTTTCATTTAAAAAAAAAAGTACAATTTATTCATTTCTACAATTTATTGACTTTAGTTATTGCATATATATGCTTCCTTTTGTTTTCCCCTGTATTTGGGGCAATGAATTTCTTTATTATTTTATGTTTTTAAAAATACAGTTTTTATTCATTAAAAAGGTAGAATGATTAAATTAATATAAAAAAAAGGTTTGATTAGTGAAAAAACGTGAAGGTAATTTAAGGAGAAAAATAGTTAGAATAATGAATGAATAAAAAATAGGTAAGAAAAGAAAGGAAAAGACTAGAAGAAAAAGAAAAATGTTGCGTCGTAATCGTGTCTAAGATTTAGTTTTAAAAAAAAGTGTGATATTTCTGGGAAGCTTCGCGGGTGTGACTTGGTTCCCACTTGCAGGCCATTTGATTGAATTCAATTCAACGCGAAAAATATCAATCTATTCTTCTTCTTCTTCTTCGTCCCCCCCCCCCCCCCCCCAAAAAAAAAAAGCAGATTAAGAACTTGTTCCTGTTATTGTTAAGGTGTTGTGGGGTCCACATATGTTGAATTGATCTGATCTGATCTCTACGGAGCACAAAATGAACACTGATTTGGATGAGGAAACTCCATTCAGTTCTTCTCCACCAGCTACTAGTATTACTACTAAACCCCACTCTTTTCATTTCGATTCATCACTTCCTTTACCCAAATCATCTTCTTCTTTCTTAAACCATTCATCCGCAAGACGAATGAGCAGGAGTATTTATATTGTTTTAATCAAAGCTAAGATCAACCTCTTGTTACCTTTTGGCCCCTTGGCTATCTTCCTACATTATTTCACCGCTAAACATGTTTGGGTTTTCTTCTTCGCTTTGTTGGGTATTGCCCCTTTGGCCGAACGTCTCGGTTATGCTACTGAGTACGTTTTCTCTCTCTCTCTCTCTCTCTCTCTCTCTCTCTCTCACTATTCTTACCATTAATTTACTAACCTATCTTTTTTTTTTTTTGTTCTCTCTCATACAGACAACTTGCCTTCTACACCGGATCAACAGTTGGGGGTTTGCTCAATGCTACATTTGGAAATGCCACTGAAATGATTATATCTATTTACGCTTTGAAAAGCGATATGATTAGGGTTGTTCAGCAATCTTTACTTGGTTCTATCCTCTCTAATATGCTTCTAGTTCTTGGTTGTGCATTCTTTACTGGTGGGATTGTCCACTACCAAAAACTTCAGCTTTTCAATAAGGTATCATCCATCACTCTCTCCATTCATCTTACTCTCTCTCTCTTCTAACCTCACACACTTCACTTTCCTACAGGCTGCTGCTGTTGTCAATTCCGGCTTATTGTTGATGGCTGTAATGGGAATACTCTTTCCTGCCGTGCTTCATTTTACTCACTCTGAGGTTCATCTTGGCAAGTCCGTCTTATCATTATCCAGATTTAGCAGCTGCATCATGCTACTCGCCTATGCAAGCTACCTTTTCTTTCAACTTAGAAGTCAACACAATTTTTATACTCCAGTTGACGAGGTTCCTTCTTTTCGCTCATCATGTACTTGATGTCAACTCAACCCTTTTTTTTTTGTTATCAATGTTTTTTTCATCCTATTAATATGTCATATCTACATGTATCCTTTTTGTTACATTTTTTTAACTCATGTTACCTATTGTCTTTTTCCTCTATGTTAACTAGTGTTTGCACAATTCATGGTATCCATTTTGACAACTCCAACATACAATTTTCAGTCGAGTCAGACAATTTAAATACCTTTATTATGTGTGTATGTTAGTAACATAAAAACTTATTACCCGTCCCCAAACACAAAACAAATGAAAAGGAATGGTCAACAATTCAGGATGCTTTTTCAGAGGTTTTATTTAGTTGATGACACTATTACCAAATTATTCATGTAAAACGGATGGAAATGGGAGAAGTCATACACGTGCATTTCGTGATGGTGACTACTTGAATGGAATTTTGATGGACTCCTCAAGACAAGGGGAAACCTAAGGACCACCATCATTTACCATTCTATTTTGTTTCCTCAAAGCCTGCCTGTATAATTGTTTTTAATGGAAAATGTTAGCTGTTCCCGAAGGTGTAGTCTAGGGGTATAAGTTTGGACGAAAAGGAGTTTGAGAAGGATGACCAGGGTTCCATCCCTGTTGCTAACAATCTCTCCCTTCCTTATATTCATCACTCCCCTACACTATCCCTAATTGGTCTGGGACTTTGCATTTTGTTGATGCACGGATTTGTCTTGCATTTATTACAAAAGGAGAACCACTCTTTTTCTTTAGTGTTTAAAAATTATTTTATATATTTCAAAACCTAAAAGAGTTTATATGAGAGAATTTGTGCCTATGATGCTGTTTTTCTTAACTACCCAATGGTCTCTTTACAGTTAATCTCCATAAATTATAATACAGGAAGTAGATACAAGCGAAAACACTGACGAGGAGGAAGAACTTGAGTTAACAAAGTGGGAAGCGATAATCTGGCTTGCTATTTTGACAGTATGGGTATCAGTATTGTCTGGATACCTTGTGGATGCCATAGAGGTATTTCAGAATTTCTGAATCATTAAGCTTCTGTTATTTGTTATTCTTGTGGAATGTTGAATTTGGGTTTGTTCTTCTCATTGTTTACTTCATTTTTGCATAAAACTTCAATCATAGACCATGTACATAGTCTTATATTGTGCCATAGAACCATGCCGTTGCAATGCCTTTGGTTCACCCTGGTCAAAGTCAAAGACCAGATAAATAAGACCATTTATACTCATAAGTATGGGGGGCAAGTAAAAGGAGTGCGTAACCCCAGCTCAATATCTCCCAACACAATACTGTTGCTTAATATGGCACAGTAACTTAAAAAGTAGCATAACTTAAAAACATTGTAGGAGTTTAAAAAAAACACGGATAATAATTAGAGCAAAAATTTAGTACTCGGACTGAAGGGAATTCTATATTTTTAGAACTATTCTGAAGAAACAGTCATGGGATTGGGTCAAAAGAGTGATGATATGGCATTGGATTTTTAAGGTTGATATGAAAAGGTGGAGATATAATTTAACCCGCTAATAGGTTTTATTTTTTAAATAATGCTGACTTTACTTTTATAAACGTATTACTGTACTAAAATCTAGATCAAGTACTAGTAGTTTTCTAGGCCAACTCTCTAATACTTTTAATATAATTAATCAATTCAATTATACTATCCAACACAAAAAACCCTAATGATCTATCAGAAAGAGTATTTGTGATGATTTTGTTTACTGTTTTAATGTTTTTTATGGACCAAAGTTTGTATTTCGACTCTTAAATCTGTTTGGTTAAGCTGCTTTTTGTTAAAGTTGCAATCATACCATTCATGTATAGCCTCTTCTCCTCAGCGTCTTTAGTTTTTCGTTTTGGCATAGATCGACTCTGGACCATTCCTAAGCAAAGCAATTCCTGTTACCTCCTAAGTGGCCCATGCTGTAAAACAAAATATTATAGGAAATCACGAGGCAAGATTCTGAAGTCATGAAAAGGAAATATAGCGACAGAGAAGAAAGAGTTTAAACGCACATTAATCCTTACCCAAAACCCAAAAGCTACACACGAACAAAAACTTAATGATTGCTTTGAGAGCCATGTTTGCTTTGTGATTATACGCCTCTGAAACATCACTGTCATTCCTTTCCTTGTCGACAATGAAGAACTCTACCATCCCTAGTCTTTTCCATAAACATCACATTAACTCCTAAATTGATTCATAAGCATATTGTGTTTCTGTTCTCTTGCAGGGAGCATCTGAATCCTTGAATATGTCAGTGGCTTTTATTAGCGTCATCTTGCTTCCAATAGTAGGAAATGCTGCAGAGCATGCAAGTGCTATCATGTTTGCCGTAAAGGACAAGCTAGTAAGTGGCTTTCAAAGCCTGCATTTGTTCTATGAATACTGTTCAATCTGTTAATGGATTCAATTTTTTCACAGGATATCACAATTGGAGTTGCTGTTGGATCGTCAACCCAAATATCAATGTTTGTGGTATGGCCTTGAACTGTTATCAAATAACCTCGATTTCCCTATGTCATTGGAAGATGTTTCTAGTTTATGAACTTCTTAAAACTAGATGATGGTTGTTGAAAGTGATTGATTCTTATTCTCTTGAAATTTGTAGATCCCTTTCTGTGTGGTTGTTGGATGGTGCATGGGAAAAGAAATGGACTTGAATTTTCAACTCTTTGAGACTGCCACACTTTTTATCACTGTGCTGGTAGTTGCATTTATGATGCAGGTATGTGTTTTCTTATTTAACCCTATGAAATTATCCTTACAGCATTTGTTGATGTTTTCCCACTTTATATGCAATTAATGGACATCACTTAGTTCTCACCTATAAGTTGTTTAGTCAAGACAAAAGTTCATGTCTTTTATATTGACTCAGAATGAAAATTCCAAATGACTAGAGATAGAAGACCTTCAGAAAAATCATGATTCATTCAATTATTTGTCATTTGTTTGATCAAAAAGTCATATAAGAAGCTTCTTACATGATTATTGCTTATGAAACTTAATTAAAAAGTTAGGCAAAAGTAATAATAATTCATCTATTTTGCTAAATTCCATAATCCCGTGTTTGTTGTGCACATCTCTTTTTAAACACGGGAATGATTTGAGAGAATGGATTAAGCTGACCGGCTAATACCCTATGTCCCCTAAATGCACATGCATTAGACACCTGTTTCTCAATTCTTCGTATATTATTCACACACACGGGTTCTTTCACATGTTTCTCAACGTGTGTTTTGTATCATCACTTGTTTTGGCGTTGGACATCTCTTCTGTTTACTATAGATAATTGAAACAAAGTGTGATGTGAATGGACCAGGTACTACAACAGTAATATAAACACACAGGTCACACACGCACATTACTTTTGGGATACCAGGAAATTGGAGCAACATCTCACATGAGAATGCATGTTTAGTGCTTCAACTTCTCATTCTATTATATAGAATATTATGTCTCATGCTATGGTATACTCATTCTAGTAGTTATGTCCAAAAAGCACGGATTTTGGTTTTCAATTTGCTGTTAAAACTGGCTATTTATGATTTATGTCTCATTTTGCATGGTTAGGGTCAAGTAACTGTTTAGTCTATGCATGAGCTTTTTGTTGCACTCTCTTTGTCAGTGTGTTTTTTGTTCTTCCTATTTACCACCATTATTTATGTCTGTGACACTGATAACCATTTTTACATTGCTTTTATCCTTACAGGAAGGGACCTCAAACTATTTTAAAGGCTTGATGCTTATTCTATGCTATCTTATAGTTGCTGCCAGTTTTTTTGTACACGTCGACCCTAAAAGTGGTGAGTTTACTGATAATACATTGCCTATATATTATCACGAAGCAGAAGCTTTAGATGAATCTCCGAATCTCCTATGACTAAGAAAATCTTTTAATAACCAGCATACCTATTTTGTTGTCCAGTTTCTTAATGTTGTCAGTTTGCACCACTCAGTTTTCAATCTAGTCATGTTCAAGCTGTGTACTAGATGATTGGTGTCTACTTTAGGAAATTTAGGAATAAAATTGAAACTTTTTAATGATGTTTACTGACATATATGCAGATGATGACTAAATATAGTGATTGTGCCCGGCAGTGGTAGCTGTCCATGTTGCCTATACTGGAAGGATAGTAAGCAGTGTGTTTGAAAGATTTCCCCAAAAAAGTCTTCATCCTGCTTCCAAAACCATGAAGTGTGATCATAGGCAATGCACTGTACTGAAAATCTTCAGCTTTGTACTATATCAGAATTTTGAATGGATGATTTAATTTGTATTATTTTGATCTCCATAGTTTTCATTCATTATACCATAAATTTTATCTTACAGCCTTTTCGGTTCTCATATCTTTAACTGAATTGCTTTGAAAATAACAAATAATTTCAAAGTTTTTCATTTTCCCGTTTTAGTGGTGCTATTTTGAAATTAGTAGAGTTCTTGTTATATTTATTTATCATTTGATATTATTGTTTCTATGTTTATCAGTTTGTTAAATAAAATCCTATCCTTTAGAGAAGTCTTATTCTTTAAGGAAGTGGAGTTGTAGATAGGGATTGGGATTTCTCTATGATCAGTTAGCTAATTCACTTTGCAGGCAATGTAAAACGTGGGTCTGTTTCTTTCTGATTTGGTTAAGTTTTTCTGATTTGGTTAAGTTTTCATTTCGGTATTTGAGATTTCTTTAGCCACCCTTGTCTCTTTTTAGAGTTCCTTAGCGAAATTCTCATTTTACTCTCTAGTTTTAAATATACATATCTGAATTTACTATATTTTATTTTTTATCAAATGGTTTTGGGAAGACACCAACGATTTATTTTGGATATTTATATATGAAATATGCCGAAGTACTGAATGAATTAAAACTTTTGAAATCAAACCAAAGTAACTTATCATAGATTTAACATAAATAGTCGAAATTACATAGATAATTGAACAAAATTTTAACATTACATATTGTTATAAACGGGTAGTTGAAAATGCCGCAATATTTTGATAACATCTTTTCTCGGTCGTTGAAGTTTCGTATCCACATCAATTAGACTCTTAGTCGAATATTGCTGAAAAGTACTTCCATAACCTTTAAATCATCATCTGTCTTCAGTTCAAATTTGGTGAACTTTATCTTACCTTCAGTGTCAAGTGAGGGTGAACGATACTCGATCTTGACCACTTTTAAATTGTAGTTTTTTATGCTCTCTTTGATATGATAAAATACTTGAAACTTAATTTGAAGACGAAAAAATGATTGAAAATGGTTGAGGTTTTGAGGTAGGTTTTGGTTATGGGGAGAAATGGAATGAATGAAATAGTGGTAGTGGTGATCATGAAGCTAACTTATGTAACAAAGGTATTTTTGGATATGGATACCCGAAAATACCATTGAATGTTTAAATATTATACAAGGGGTTTTCAGATATACATATCCGAAACACCTTGAAAATGTAGTTAAAGGTTCGTTCGGATATGCATATCAGAAAATATTACTGAATGTTTAAGTCCATCATTTAAATAATTATAACGTCTAGATAAAGGGGTTTTCGGATATGTATATCCAAAATATCTTGAAAATGGTTTTAAGGGTTCGTTCGGATATGCATACCCGAAAGTACCACTGAATGTCTAAATTCAACGTTATTATACAAGGCATATCCGAAACGCCTTGAAAATATAGTTAAAGGTTCGTTCGGATATGCATATCCGAAAATATCACTGAATGTTTAAGTCCAATGTTTAAATAATTATAACGTTTAAACAAAGGGGTTTTCGGATATGCATATCGAAAATATCTTGAAAATAGTTTTAAGGGTTCGTTTGGATATGCATATCCGAAAGGTATTTTAGGATTTTCAGATGTGTTTTTCACCTATATAAGGGTGATAAAAGAAATTCCCTTCGGTATATATAGCTAAATTTTGCTTTCAATTTAATAAGATATTCTCTCCAAAACCTCTATGTTTGTTTTTAGTTTCAACAATTGATACTAAAGCTCCATTATTGGGGCCTGATCCCAAGTGTGTGAGTGTGAGAAAAAACAGTGAGCGTGTATTAGGAAAGAAACGAAAAATTTCCATTCTAAGTATAAGAAATTCAGAAGAATGACAGAAAGTGGTAGTGGTAGTGGTAGTTTTGTGCATTATGCTATTGGGTGACGTTGATGGAAAATTTTCTCCGTTTCAAAGAATATTGAAGTCTCATTAAAAATGAAATATTGGTAGTGGTAGATGAAGTAGAGTCAATAGAGGTACAATGTAAATTGAATGAAGAACAAAAGTAAAGGACTTGAAAGTAAAAAATTACCTCTTCAAAGCAATTTCGTGTGATGTGTTTGAAACAATTCTTAACGAGGACACTTCTAAAGATACTTGAGATTTAATGAAGTAGAAATTCCAAGGTTCAAATAGGATCAAAATGACATAATTGCAAGCATTACTAAGAATTTTGAGATTATTCATATGAGAGAAGTGAATGCCTATTTCTCTCGTACTCTAATTATTGCTAATAAAATGAAAGTTCATGGTGAATGAATGAGTGAAACAATCATAATTATTAATAACAAAATGAAAGTTGATGGTAAAAGTATGAGTGGAACAATAATTATTGACAAGATTTTGAGATCAATGGTCTCAAAATTTGGTTATGTGGAATGGTGAATGGAAGAATTGAACAAGCTAGATACAATGAAAATTGATGAGTTGCATGATAGTCTTTTTGTTGATGAGTAAAGGATGAGAAGCCATGAAGAAGAAGAGCATAATCTCAAGATATCTCATGAAGAGGAAGAGGTAGAGGTGTATTTAGAGGTGACCGAGGCAGAGGAAGACAAGTCAACAACAAATATGTTATAAGTTAGCACAGTATGAATATGAGTATCAAAATTGGGAGAAAAGAGAGAAGTATATTGAATTGGAAGAGGAAGAATAAGAGCTTTTATTAATGTCTTACGTTGAAGTTAAATAAGCCAAAATGGAAGAAGTGTGATTTCTTCATTCTGGTTGCAGCCACCATATAAGTGGAATCAATGAGTGGTTTCTAGACTTGGATGAAAGCTTGAAGCAAATTGTAAAACTTGACAATGACACTGAAGTGGTTGTTGTGGGAAAAGGAAGGTTTCATATGCAAGTGAGAGTAGTTGCTTAAGTAATTTCTAATGTTTACTATATTGCTGAGTTGAAAAAAAAGCGTTAAGCATAAACAACTTCAAGTAAAAGGTTTATCTATCTTGATACAACATGGAAAGTGTAAGGTATATCATCCTACAAAAGGGTTGATTATGCCATGATACCAATAGTTTAAAACCGAGTCAGAAAATAAATCTCATTTTTAACCGACAACCAACATAAAGGCTCAATGCCTAATAAGAGTATATGGAGAGCATGCAGACATATGTGGACCTATTAAACCAAATTCAAAGTTTTATAAATGCTTTCTCTTGTAAAACTTGAGTTTACTTCTTGAATGAAAAATATGAGGCTCTTACTTTGTTTAGAAATTTTAAAGGAGTTTGATGAATATATCAATTCTTTAAGGATATATGGAGGTGGTGAGTTCACCTCAAATGAATTTGAAGAATATTTCAAACAATTGATAGTAACTTATACTTGTCAACAAAATAGAGTGTGTGAGAGAAAAAAATAGGACGCCGCAAAGCAGGTTCCCAAATGTTTTGACCACAAGTTGTAAAATGGAATAGATGTCCTACTATGATTGTGAAAAACAAAACTCCAAATGAGGCATGGAGTGGTGTGAAATCAAAAATTAATTTTGGATGTGTAGTCATGCACATGTTCCATACCAAAAAAGAACTAAGTTAGACGACAAGAGAAATAAATGTGTTTTGTTGTGAGTAATTAATGACTGAAAAGCCTACCAATTATATGATCTGGTTTTCAAAAAAATAATCATTAGCAAGGATGTGATTTTTGAACAAGATAAATGCTGGAATTGGGGCATAAATGAAGAAGAATGTAGATTGGATGTCTTAGACTGTAAAGATGATTTTGAAAATTGTGGATGAGTGGGCAATGAAGATGAAGGTAATTTTGTTGATGCAAGAAATTCAAGTGAAGTGGAGGGACACAATGATGGCAAGTATTCAGTGAATAGAAAAGAACAAGACATGAGAATTAACTATTTTACCTAAAGGACTGAATTCCATTCAAGTTAAGTGGATTTCCAAGATGAAACTTAACAAGAATGAAGAAATAGACGAATAGAAAACAAGGCTAGTGGAAAAGGGTAGGACTATATCAAAGTTTTTCCTTCGGTGGCCAGACTTTACACCATTCGATTGATACTTGCTTTGACAACTCAAAATAGTTGGAATGTTTTTTAGATTGATGTAAATAGTGCATTCCTTCATGGCGAACTCAATGAAGAAGAATTTGTGCAGCAACCACATGGATATGAAAAGAAAGGTGAAAAAGAAAAGTCTACAAACTAAGAAAGATGTTGTATTGTATGGCTTGAAGCAAGCACTGAGAGCATGTTATAGCAAGATTTTTGTGAGTATACATTGTTCACATACTCAAAAATAGAGGTAAAGTTATAATAATAAGCCTTTATGTTGATGCTTTAATATATATTGGAAATTATAAAAGTATGTGAGATTTTTAACTTTCAAATAAAGTATGCTTGTGAAATTTTATCGAGGTATCGAATGGAAAAAGGTAATCCAGTAAAGAATCCTATTGTACCAGACACAAAGTTGTTAAAGGATGAAACCAGAACCAAAGTTGATGAAACTTTGTCCGAACAAGTTGTTGGCAATCTGATATACTTGACTCCTACGCCATCAGGTTTGTTGTATGGTGAGTCTTGTTGAAAGCATAATTTCTTGTGTCGAAGCAGCTTGCTCGACAGAAAATTAGGAAGTGTCGAAGTGTAGAAGCAGTTTGGAAGAGACCTGAGCATCTTCCTGATCAACTTATCTTCAGATATCTTCTCTCCCAAGTCTTTTGAATCATTTTCAATATCCAAAACAATCATATAAAAGTCCTGATCACTTTCATCTTCAAATTTTTAAATCTTGAAGATAAAAGTTGAAGTTTTGCCATCTTTACTTTGGAATTTCCTTCA